CTGGGCTCACTGCTGTCCTGGGAGTCACTGCTGTCTGGGCCTCACTGCTGTCCTGGGTGTCACTGCTGTCCTGGGCTCACTGCTGTCCTGGGAGTTACTGCTGTACTGGGCTCCCTGCTGTCCTGGGTGTCACTGCTGTCCTGGGCTCCCTGCTGTCCTGGGTGTCACTGCTGTCCTGGGCTCACTGCTGTCCTGGGAGTCACTGCTGTCTGGGGCTCACTGCTGTCCTGGGTGTCACTGCTGTCCTGGGTGTCACTGCTGTCCTGGGCTGCCTGTTGTCCTGGGTGTCACTGCTGTCCTGGGCTCACTGCTGTCCTGGGAGTCACTGCTGTACTGGGCTCCCTGCTGTCCTGGGTGTCACTGCTGTCCTGGGAGTCACTGCTGTCCTGGACTGCCTGCTGTCCTGGGTGTCACTGCTGTCCTGGGCTCACTGCTGTCCTGCGTGTCACTGCTGTCCTGGGCTCACTGCTGTCCTGGGCATCACTGCTATCCTGGGCGTCACTGCTGTCCTGGGCGTCACTGCTGTACTGGGCTCACTGCTGTCCTGGGTGTCACTGCTGTCCTGGGCTGCCCGCTGTTCTGGGTGTCACTGCTGTCCTGGGTGTCACTGCTGTCCTGGGCTCCCTGCTGTCCTGGGCTCCCTGCTGTCCTGGGCTCACTGCTGTTCTGGGCATCACTGCTATCCTGGGCGTCACTGCTGTCCTGGGCATCACTGCTGTGCTGGGCATTACTGCTGTGCTGAGCGGTCACTCCTGTCCTTGATGTTCAAACCCCAGCTCTCATCCCCCCCCACTTCTACCAGTAACCCCTCTCTCCTGTGTCACCCGACTCCCCTAACCTCTCTCCATCTCCTGTGCCTCCTCCCAGCCAACTCTAAACCATGCGGAACGTGATTGTACAAAGAAGGGGAGCAGGTCACTCTAGCTCAGGTCACAACCACACTTCTTGTCCCCTTTCCCTCCCCCCTCAGCCCCTGCAGCCCTGCCTCTGTCTTACACACTCTCGCCCATTGCATCTTGACCTGGTCAGTCTGCCGGTTAGGATCCTGGCTCAGCTGCTTTAATGGGCCAATGCCAGCTGCTCAAAGAGAGGGAAAGTTTCTTTCTATCTGTGGCAGTCTGCCCTTGTGGCCGTTGCGGGCGATGGGATGGCTCTGCGCCACGGGGTTGTGCAGGGATCCAGGCACTGCCTTCCGTACTGTTGCTCCTCCACACCTAGGGCATTGTCCTGGCCCATGGTAGAGGCTGGCCCACTCCACTGAGTTGCCATTCTAGCCCCAGGGGAGGGGGAAAGGGAGGGAAGCGGGGAAAGGCTAGGGTTAGGCAGCCTCTTTTTGAGGCATGACCCAGAAATTGCCACATCACTTCTGCTCATATCCCATTGGCCGGAACTTGGTCACATGGCCTCTATAGCTGCAGGGGAAGCTGGGAGATATAGTTCAGCACTTTTGTTTATATCCCATTGGCCAGAACTTAGTCACATGGCCTCCACTGGCTGCAAGGGTGACTGGGGAATGCAGGCCTTCATTCTGCTTACTTCTCATTGACCAAAAAGGAGTCATGTGACTTCCACTAGCTACAAGGTAGTCTGAGTAGTCTGGTAGGGAGGTCATGTTCCTTGCTAAAACTGAAGGAGTGTGTGGTTCAGTTACTAAAAGGAAAAAGGAGAGATTTACAGTTTCTGTCATTAAACACCGCCTCAGGAATGCTTTCTACTGGAGTGCCAGAAAACCTGAGTAACCGTGGCTTTTACGGATATGTATTGTTCAGTTAACAAGATGGGGTCGGTTTGGGAGCCAGTCAGGTAGCTCCATGATATCTGTGTTGTTTTCATGACCTTTCCTTTATGGTCACAAGATGGCTGCCACAGCTCCAGGCATCATGTTGCCACCCAGCCACGTTCAAGCAGGAAAAGGGGGAAAAGGAGCCTTCTTCCCAACTCTCTTTTTAATTAAGGAGGGAAATTTCCCCTGAAATCCCCAAGCAAGCTTAAGTCACACATCTTATTGGCTGTATCTCTGGCCCACACCCACTCTAGCTGTAACGGGCTGAGAAAACAAATCTCTGGTGGAAGGGGATAAGCTTGCCATGGATGGTTAATTGTTGTTAGGTACTGTTGGGTTGGCGCTGACTCAGCCACCCGGTGGACAACAGAACGAAACACTGCCCAGTCCTGCGCCATCCTCACAGTCGTTGCTATGTTTGAGCCCATTGTTGCAGCCACTGTGTCGATCCATCTTGTCAAGGGTCTTCCTCTTTTTTGCTGACCCTCTACTTTACCAAGCATGGCGTCCTCCTCCAGGGACTGGTCCTTCCTGATAACATGTCCAAAGTATGTGAGACGAAGTCTCACCATCCTCCCTTCTAAGGAGCGTTCTGGCTCTCTTTGCAGAAGGACACGGCTTTCTCTATGAAACGTTTGGGATCCGGCCGCGCTTCTCCTGGCATGTCGACCCCTTTGGGGCATCCGCCACGACCCCCACGCTGTTTGCCCTGGCAGGCTTCAATGCCCACCTCATCTCCCGGATCGACTACGACCTGAAGGAGGCCATGCAGGAGGCCCAGGTTAGGGGCACACCTTGTCTGCCGCTGCCGACGTGCCACCCGCTCCCTCCTCCTTGAGAAAGCCCGCACATGGTCCGGGGCATGCAGAGCTCCCGGCAGCCTCATACACCTTCCACCAGGACGTCCCCTCCCCAAGTGCCAGCTTCCCACCATGCTCAGGCCCAGTGTGGATGCCCCCTGCCTCCAGACCCCTTCTCTGCCCTCAGCTGGGGCCGGGGCCAGGGCTGAGTCCTCCTGAGGCCCTGCCAGGGACTAGGACGGAGCCTTGCTCAGTAGGCAAGATTGCCAGACTCGAGGGAGTGTGGGGGTGTCGCGGGAGATGGTCAGCAGGGACATCTCAGCTCTTCAGGGGTGCAGGCAGCTGTTACAGGATTGATGATAACAACACAGATGCTCCAGTCAAGGGTCCTTACCAATCACCAAGCTGGCGGGGAGTAGGGTTCCTCCCTCCTCCCCTTGAGTCCTCCCAGCAGCCCTAGGGGGTGGGCACTGTCACAGTTATCCCCATTTTACAGATGGGAGAACTGAGGCCCCGAAAGGTAAGTAACCTGCCGGGATTGCCCTGGTGTGAGGGCGAGGCCAGGATGGGAAGGCCGAGCTTCTCCCCCGATCCCCGGGCATGCTCTAGTCCTGGAGTGCAGCCGGAGGCCTGCCAGGAGCCCTTTAGGGAAGTGGATGTGGGCTTTTGTGGATGAGGGAAGTAACACTGTATCAAGTCACTACTCTGCCACATCTCCCACTGAACACACCTGTGTGTCAGCTTGTTCACCTGCAGGTGGCGCTCTGTGCTGCCTGTTCTCTGCATTTCCATGTGCAGGAACCCGGCACAGAGACATCCAAAGACCTGTGTATGGTCCCAGTGCCAAACAGAGCCAGGATCTTATCCCTGCTTTGTAACTGTGAGCACTGCTAACCATCAGAGCTATTAAAAATAGACTAGGAGACTGTAGAAGAATCCTGTTCAAAAGGGGGAAAATTCAGGACAGAATTTAAAATTCCCATGGAATCCAGATTTTCTGGAGCCACAGAGGCTGGATGAACCCCCAAAACTATTGCCCTGAGGTAATCTTTAAACTGTAAACCAAAAATATCCCCTGAAGTCATCTTAAAACCAAACACTAATTTAGTTTAACAAGTAAAGAATGTCTGCCTTGATCATTGTAGTCTTTTAAGAACGATCTGTATGGGATCAAATTGACAACAGCTCGAAAGAGCAGATAGGAAACTTAGGGGCCGTGAGTTTGTGTTAATAGCAGAGAAACAACTTGGAAAAGGAAGGTGAGAATGGTCACACAACTTGAAGAATATAATCACTGTCACTGAATCGTACACGTAGAAGCTGTTGGATCAGTGTATGTTCTGCTGTGTATGTTCTCAACTACAACAAAAATAAATAAATTCTTTTTTAAAAATAGACTGGGAGAGGTGATGAGCTCCCCGCCCTGGTGGCATTCAAGCAGAGTTAGACAACTCTTCCTGGAGGCCCTGGCAGAGTCCTGCCTCAGGATGGGTGGGCTGAATGAGCACATGACCCTTCCCAGAGGACAGATACCTCGACTTTGTGGCTCTGGGAGCTCAGGGAGGGAGACCTCGTCCATGAACCATCAGAGGGAGGGGCCTGTAGAGGGCCTGGGGGATGGGGGGCCTGGCCCTCACATTGTCACCTCCCCTCCACTTGCAGGAGCTGCAGTTCGTGTGGCAAGGGTCCCCATCCCTGGCAGAGCAGCAGGAGAGCTTCACGCACATCATGGACCAGTACAGCTACTGCACCCCCGCCCACATCCCTTTCTCCAACAGGTAGGTGCCCCGCCTGCTGGGCCTTGGCACCCACCCCAGGGAGTCTGCGTTTACCCAGAGCCCAGTTTCAGCAGCTCTTGGGCAGGTTTGTAACAGCAGCTTGTTAGGCTTCCATCATGAGGTTCTCGTTGTTCAGCCTTCTGGCAAACCAGAGTGGGTGGCGTCATTAAGCCCACTTCACAGATGAGAAAACTGAGGCTTGGAGGGGATGTGGCCAAGGTCACGGTATGAGTGTCCTGGGATTGCTGCAACAAATTCCCACAAGCTAGTGGCTTCGAACAACAGAACTGCTCGTTCTCACGGTTCTGGAGGCCAGGAGTCCAAAATCAAGGGGTCAGCAGGGCTGCGCTCCCTCCAGAGGCTCTAGGGGAGGATCCTTCTTGGATTCTTTCAGCTTCTGGTGGCCCAGGTGTTCTTTGGCTTGTGGCCACATTACTCCAATCTCTACCTTGGTCTTCACACAACCTCCTCTTCTTGTCTCTCTTCTCATGAGCACACTAGTCATTGGATCAGGGCCCACCCTATTCGAGTTCAATCTCCTGTTAACCTGTTAACATCTGCAAAGACCCTATTTCCAAACAAGGTCACGTTCGCAGATACCAGGGTTAGGACATGTTGTTGTTAGCTGTCATCGAGTCGGTTCCAACTTATAGTGACCCCACGTACAACAGAACGAAGCACCGTGCCATCCTGCGCCATCCTCACAATCGTCATGCTTGAGCCCGTTGTCGCAGCCACTGTGTCATTCCATCTTGTTGAGGGTCTTCCTCTTTTTTACTGACGCTCTACTTTACCAGGCATGATGTCCTTCTCCAGGGACGGGTTCCTCCTGATAATATGTCCAAAGTAAGCAAGATCCTCACTTCTAAGGCACCCTTGGCGGTACTTTGTCCAGTACAGATTTGTTTGTTCTTCTGACAGTCCGCGGTATATTCAATATTCTTCACCAACACAATTCAAAGGCATCAGGTCTTCTTTGGTCTTCCTTATTCATCATCTACTTCTCACATGCACATGAGGGGATTGAAAACACCATGGTTTGGGTCAGATGCACCTTAGTCTTCAAGGTGACGTCTTTGCTCTTCAACACTTTAAAGAGGTCTTTGGCAGCAGATTTGCCCGATGCAATGTATCTTTTGATTGCCTGACTGCTGCTTGCATGGGTGTTGATTGTGGATCCAAGTAAAATGAAATCCTTGACAACTTCAATTCTTTCTCCGTTTATCGTGATGTTGCTTATTGGTCCAGTTGTGAGGATTTTTGTTTTCTTTCGGTTGAGGTGTAATCCACACTGAAGGCTGTGGTCTTTGATCTTCATCAGTAAGTGCTTCAAGTCCTCTTCGGTTTCAGCAAGCAAGGTTGTGTCATCTGCATGATGCAGGTTGTTAATGAGTCTTCCTCCAGTGCTGATGCCCCATTCTTCTTAGTCCAGCTTCTCAGATTACTTGCTCAAGGATACAACCTTGACACACACCTTTTCTGATTTTAAACCACACAGTATCCCCTTGTTCTGTTCGAACAACTGCCTCTTGGTCTATGTACAGGTTCTGCACGAGCACAACTCAGTGTTCTGGAATTCCCATTCTTCGCGATGTTATCCATAATTTGTTATGACCCACACAGTCGAATGCCTTTGCATAGTCAATAATACAAAGATAAACATCTTTCTGGTATTCTCTACTTTCAGCCAGGATCCATTGGACATCAGCAGTGATATCCCTTATTCCACATTCTCTTCTGAATCCTGCTTGAATTTCTGGCAGTTTCCTGTCAGTGTACTGCTGCGACCATTTTTGAATTATCTTTAGCAAAGTTTTACTTGCATGTGATATTAATGATATTGTTCAATAATTTCTGTGTTCAACTGGATCACCTTCCTTTGGAATGGGCACAAGTATGGATCTTTTCCAGTCAGTTGGCCAGGTAGCTCTCTTCATAATTTGTTGGCTTTTTCTGTCAGTTTGTTGTACTGTGGGGGCTTGCGAGTTGCTGTGATGCTGGAAGCTATGCCACCAGTATTCAAATACCAGTAGGGTCACCCATGGTGGGCAGGTCTCAGCTGAGCTTCCAGACTAAGACAGACTAGGAAGAAGAACCTGGCGGTCTACTTCTGAGAAGAATTAGCCAGTGAGAACCTTATGAAGAACAGCGGAACATTGACTGATAACTGCAGGATGAGCCCCCCAGGCTGGAAGGCACTCAAAATACGACTGGGGAAGAGCTGCCTCCTCAACATAGAGGCGACCTTAATGACATGGCTCAGAGGTGGACATATCTTTTGGCGGACACAATTAAACCCACTGTAGTTGCTCAGCCTGGTACGTGGGGAGCTGGGATTGACTCGGTTCTGTGTGACTGCAAACTGCTTCTTGCTCTGAGTCTTCCCGAGGTGGGCTGACCTGAAGGATGAGGTCTTACTCCCACCCTGGCCCGCCGGGTCCCTCCCGCTCCGCCCTGGGCTTCCCCCGTCTGAGGGTGAGGATGTTGAAGCGGCTGATTCCTGGAGCCCCTCTACCCTCTGCCCCCCTTCTCCTGTCCACGCTGTCCCCCAGGGTGCGTCCAGCTGCAGCAAAGCAGAGCGAGCGTCCCTCTGATACCCTCCACCCCAGCCGTGACCTCTTTACGATGACGTCGCCTCCGGGCCCCCATCTCGCCTCTGCCTGGAGAGCATGGACTCCGCACCAAAGGGTGCTCGGCTGGGGGGCTGCGGGGGAGCGGCCCCCAGCGTGGCCTGGCTTTGTCCCCACCCACCTTCTCCCTCAGGTTGCAGGGGCAGGTTGGCATGGCAAGGGTCCCTATCCCTGCCGGTCACAGCAAGGATGGGGAGGGGGAGGGGGAAAGGGTCCCATGGCGGGGCTCTGCTGGACCGCTGTCTTTCCTCACCTTCTGCCCCAGGGGGGTTGGGTGAAGACACGGTGGGGCCCAGAGCCCCAGGATGGGGTGAGGGGCAAGCCCAGAACGCTGCCCTGCGGCTCCGTCTTGGGGTCAGTGCCAGGAGAGCCACACTGGAGCCCAAGGTGAAAGGGAAACCCCTATACTGATCCTGTCCTTTTCAAAATGTTGGTATTTTGTTCATCCTGGGTTTGGGGCATTAATGTTGATTTTTAAGATGTTGCCTTAAGCTGCCATTGATCTTGGTGACGGAGACTCTGGGCCCCCGGGGAGTGCCCCACCCGCCTCGCCCTAGCCTGGCCCTGCTACGGCCCCCAGGCCCGGTCTGACAGGCAGGGAGGTGGCTGGACGAGCAAGCAGACAAGGGCCTGGATTTCACCCACGGCTGCACCAGCCACGGGGGCAGGAGGCAAGCTGCTGAGCCACACGACAGCAGGGGGAGTTGGGGTGAAGTGACGGGCCGGGATCCCCGCTGGTAAATGGTGGAGCTGGGGTGGAACCTGTCCATCCACAAGGCTCTGTTCTCACCTCACAGATGACCAGAGGGAGGGTCAGCAGCCCCCAGCTGGACCCTGCAGGCCTCCCTGACCCCAGGGGGCTCCCTCACCCTGGAGCGGGGCTCCCTGACCCTGGGTGGGCCTCTCTGACCCTGAGGGGCTCCCTCACTTGGGGGGTCTCTCTGACCCTGGAGTGGGCCTCTCTGACCCTGGGGTTGCTCCCTGACCTGGTGGGGGGGATCTCTCTGACACTGTTGGGGGGCTCCCTCACCCTGGGGTGGGCCTCTCTGACCCTGAGGGGCGCCCTGACCTTGGGGAGGTCTCTCTGACCCTGATACTGCTCCCTTACCCTGCTGCTAGTTGTGGGGCCCCCTGACTCTGTGCTCTCCCACAGATCCGGGTTTTACTGGAACGGCGTGGCCGTCTTCCCGGAGCCGCCCCCAGATGGGGTATACCCCAACATGAGTGAGCCTGTCACCCCGGTCAACATCGACCTGTACGCAGAGGCCCTGGTGGCCAACGTGAGGCAACGGGCCGCCTGGTTCCGGACGCCCTATGTCCTCTGGCCCTGGGTACGGGGTCCTGGTGGCCTCCACACAGCCCAGGGACTGCGCGGCAAGAGGCCGGGGATTCGATGTGGGTGCTGGCTGGGGGCGGGGGGCGGTGAGGTGGTGACGAGCCTCCGCCTGCCCGCAGGGATGTGACAAGCAGTTCTTCAATGCCTCGGTGCAGTTCACCAACATGGACCCCCTGCTGGACCATGTCAACAGCCGCACGGCCGAGCTGGGCGTCTCTGTGCAGTATGCCACGCTGGCCGACTACTTCGGGGCGCTGCACGCCCTTAACACCACCTGGGGCGTGCGTGGCCACCAGGACTTCCTGCCCTATTCGTCAGGTACAAGCCCCATCACCCTAGTGTCCATGCCATCTGCCCTTGAGGTCCCCAGGGGTGCCACAGGCCCTGTGGGGTGCAGGGCAGAGACAGCCCTGTCCCCACCCTCCACCCAGACACCCTGGCTGACCCTCTCACCGCTCCCACACCCAGCAGTCCCCTACCTCCACACCTTTGCACCCTCAGGTCCCCTGCCCAGGCCCCCCTCCCCTCCCTGCCCAGGCCCCCCTTACCCTCCCGTGTCACCAGCTCCAGGAAGCCTTTCTGAACAGTGCAGCTGGGCCGGTCCCCGTTGGGGTCCCACGGGCCCCAGGTTTCCTTCTGTTACTGCACAGTCATGGCGGGGAGGAGGGGCTGGTCTACTTCATGCCCGTGTCCTGGGCTCTGGACACATCCCTGCTGGGGGGAGGGGAGGGACCGGGCCAAACCCAGCATCACCCTGAGAGACACATCCAGGTCTGCAGGTCGAGTCCTGGAGCCCTCGTCCTCTTGGGGTGGCGTGCTGGGCGTCCCTGCTGCCCTAGAGGTTGTGCCTTGGGGCCCCCATCCTCTCAGGGTTGTGCCCCAGGAGCCCCTGTTGCCCTCAAGGCCATGCCCTGGGAGCCTCTGTCCCCATGGGGTCTCACCCCAGCCCTCTGGCTGGTGCCGGGAGTCTCAGGCCCCCTCCTCCGGTCCCCAGGACCGTTTCAGGCCTGGACAGGCTTCTACACATCCCGAAGCGTGCTCAAGGGGCTGGCGCGACGAGCTAGCGCCCTGCTGCACGTCGGCGAGTCTATGTTCACGCGCCACGTGTGGCCGGCCCCCCGAGGAGCCCTGGACCTGGCCTGGGCCCTGCAGCAGTTGCGGCAGCTCCGCTGGGCTGTCTCCGAGGTAACAGGACCTCCCCACCTGTCCTAGCATGTCCTCCTGCACCCAGGACACCAGAGCCCACTTCACAGATGGGAAAACCAAGGGCCCCTTTGCTCACAAGGCTGGGACCGAGGTCTGATGGCCTCCGTAAGCTTGAAGTTTCCCATGTGGGTGATTTTACCAGACAGTTAAAGGGCAGAGGGGTGGGGTCCGTCAGTCCTGTCTGGGTTCAAATCTCGGCTCTGCCCCTTACCAGCCACGTGGCCTGAGGCACATGCCTTTCCCTCTGTGAGCCCTAATCTCATTGCCGGGAAATGACGTGTTCCCCCCAGAGTGATAAGCGGAGCCCCCGTCAGGCACGGTGTCTGCCACACAGCAGGTTGTTCCTAGGCTCTGCCCCCATTGTACAGATGTGAAAACTGAGGGCCAAGAAGTCCTGTACCTTGTCCTTAGTCACCCAGCCAGAAAAGGGCTACCCAGCCGTGCCGTTTTTATGGTTCCCTAACAGGAATCGCTGGCAGGATTTTCACTATGTCGGGGTGAAATGTGGGCTTCACCCGTGGCCTCGGTTCCCCCCTGAAGTGGGGATACCCTGCCTCTACCCCAGGGCGGTGCTGTCATTGCTACCGCCATTGGTCCTGACACACGGTGACCCCGTGTGACAGAGCAGAACTGCTCCATAGCATTTACTCGGCTGTGACCTTTCAGGAGCAGATCTCCAGGCCTTTCTTTTGTGGTACTGCTGGTTGGGTTCGAACCACCAACCTTTAGGCTGGACACTTCGGACCGACCGCCTCAGGGCTGTAGGGGATGTAAATGGGTGTCCTGTGGAGCAGGAACGGGCCTGGCACGGAATGGCCACACCTTTGGGGAGCTCAGGTGGAGGAGGGGAACCTGGCATGGTCCTTTCCAGAAGTCTGTTTCCTGCCTGAAGTGGAGAACTCTGACAAGGTCTCATAAGTCTCCTAACCTCAGTTTCCCCTTCTGTAAAATGGGGTGATGCTCTCATCCCCCACTGCCCCTGGTGAGACGGAGCAGAGCCGCACATACTGGAGGCCAGGTGGGTGGCAGGTGCTCAGCAAAGGTAGTCCTGACCCCACTCTTCCCCGATGTGGGGTGGGCACAGGTCCAGCACCATGACGCCATCACGGGCACAGAGTCCCCCAAGGTGAGAGACATGTATAAGGAGCACCTGGTCACGGGGATGCTGGGTGTGTGGAAGCTGATTGCCACCATCGTCCTGGCCGGGCCTGAGGTCGAGGAGAAGCGGGCGGCGCCAGCGGCAGACTCAGGTAAGCAAGCCCCCATGGGGGAGAGATCCCAGGAAGGCAGGAGGGGCCTGAGCACGGTACTCTGAGTCCACATTTCCTGTCTACCCAGCCCACAGCGTGAGCTGGAACGCCACTCCCCTCTGAGCCTCCACCTCCTCATCCGTGAGATGAGAAGGGGTGGACGGACGGTCAGTTATGGTGTCAGGCTGTCAGGTACCGTTGAGTCCATTTTTGACTCGATGAGACAGTCACTGTGCCTGAGCCAGCCCGCCTCCCCTGCCCCTGACACTAGCCTGCATCACCAGTCTGCACCCCCATCCCCACCCCTCCCACTGCCGCCCTTCCCCTGGTCTCACGACCTTCAGATGCTGTCCGGGCCCCTGCAGACCAGATGGAGCAGAGGGGGCCCTGCCCTTGGGGATGCCCACCTGGTGGAGACAGCTGCAGAAACAGCTCTTTGCATGACCTTCACTGTGAGGGGCATGCCAGGTGGCTTCCCTGAGAGATGACGAGACAGAAACACCCGGGAACGTGTCCCCGGCTGGGGTAGCTGGCAGAGGCCGGGAGGCTGGATGTGCGCACTTGGTCAGGGACCCAGAGTCCTCAGATTGGAGGAGCTTAAGCCATGTGGGCTGCCAGGATGGGCTGAAGTGACCCAGTCTTCTCCGCAGAGCCTCGAAGGGGAGCCCGGTCTGCACCACAGGCCTCGGAGGCTGGCTTGGCGGGTGGATGTGGCCCTCCAGGCTGCAGAGATAGCCCTGGCCACTCGGTGCTCAGGGCTCAAAGCTTGTCCTCTTAGAGCTGGGTCCCCTTGGGCCCCAGTGTCCTCATCTGTAAGGTGGAGCTGGGGCAGATGTGTGAGGAGCGGTCAGGAACCCCCCATCCTGCCCACCGTCAGGAGCTGGCTCAGAGCTGCCTCAGTGCCCCAGGCCGCCCACAGTGACACCTGCCACAGGTGTGAGCACCACCTCTCCTCCTACCCCTCCCCCGGTTCCCGGAGCTCCCACAGGGCACCGCCGGGGTCAAGGGAGTGGTGGGGCCAGTGACGTCTCTTCTGTGTGCCGGTGTAGGGCCCGAGGGGCACTCTGCTGTGGTCTACAACCCGCTGGCCTGGGCTGTTACCACCATCGTCACCCTGACCGTCAGCTTCCCCAGAGTCCGCATCACAGACGAATCAGGCCACCCGGTGCCTGCACAGGTATGAGCGTGAAACCCCCTGTACTCACATCGTCCGGCCCTTTCAAGGGGGAAGCTGAGGCTGGAAGCGGCTGGGACGGGGCAGAGCTGGGATTCTAACTCAGGTTAGGATGGGGAGTGTCAGCTCCTAACTCCCGACATCACTGACCAAGCACAGCCTGGTCAGAGTGGAGGCAAGGCTGCCCCCTCCTCGCTAAGAGGCCTTGCCAGGGGGCACCTGTCTGGAGAGGGTGGCTGCATGTCACCCAGCCAACGCTGCCTGGGGGAGACTCGGGCATGCCCCTTGGTCATTCAGCAAACCCTTTCAGAAGCAGGTTTGGGCCCGGTCTGGGCTGGTGGGGCCCTGACGTGAGGGAGGTCAGTCCCCGCCCCTGTGTGCCACTGTCCGGTCCAGGAGAGACACAGAGGTGATGGGCGGGGGCGGAGTGATGGTGGGGATGCCCTGGGAGGGAGAACAGTTCGTCTGCAAAGTTGGGGGTCAGCTAACACCTCCGCCCAAGTGACGAGGAGTCAGCTCACTCTCCAGATGTTTCTGGGGCGCCTACTCATGGTCGCAGGACCAGCAGGTAGAGACCCCGCCGTTGGGGCTGATGGGCGGGGGATGGGGGTGCAGGCGGCAAACAAGGCAGAAAACCAAGGGGTGTGACGAGAGGCTGACTGCCGAGGGAGGTCACTGGGGAGGATGAGGGACACGGGATGAGGTGGAGAACAGATTCAGCTATGCTAGAGGGCACACAGCCCACGGGGCTTGGTAGCAGGGCTCCGGCCTCCCCCCTCTCAGAAACTGCTGCTTCCCCTAGCAGGTGTGCCCTCCTCAGCACCCCCCAATCCGGTGACGGGAGACAGGAGAGGCCAGGAGGTCAGCCTGGACAAAGTCAGGAGGACGAAGACACTGCAGTGGGGGATGGGGGGGGCAGGAGTAGGGGCAGGTGGTCATGGGCAGGTGAGGGGATGATGAGGCTGGGCCTGCTGGGCCTGCAGACTGGTGGGGACAGGGGTGGACAGCGAAGATGCTGAGCGCCATTAAGGTGGGGGACATGACAGCTTTGACCAAGCAGAGGCCACAGGGGAGGGGGCTCTGGGAGTCCTAAGGAGGGGCCTGGCTGGGCCTTTGTGGAGGTGGCCTTCAGGGGTGGGAATGGCAGTGGGGGGCGACGGTGGGGTGGCTGTGGGGTGGGTGCTGGAAAGGCCATGTTGGAGGTGGACTGTGGGAGGTGAGCAACTGTGGGTGGGGGCGAGTCTACTCTGGACACCCTGGTGGCTGCCTCCCACATGGGTGTTGGTGGTTCTCAGAGAGGTCTGGGGTCAAGACCTGGATTGGGGAGTCACCCCCTGCCTCAGTCTCCCAGTGCTGCTATAACAGAAATATCACAAGTGGGTGGTTTTAACAAACAGAAATTTATTTTCTCACAGTTTGTTGTTGTTAGGTGCCATCAAGTCAGTGCCGACTCACCGTGAGCACTCGTACAACAGAACGAAACACTGCCCCGTCCTGCACCATCCTCACAATCGTTGTTATGTTTGAGCCCATTGTTGCAACTACTGTGTCAATCTGTCTCATTGAAAGTTTTCCTCTTTTTCACTGACCCTCTACTTTACCAAGCATGATGTCCTTCTCCAGGGACCGATTCCTCCTGATAACATGTCCAAAGTACGTGAGATGAAGTCTCGCCGTCCTCACTTCTAAGCAGCATTCTGGCTGTACTTCTTTCAAGACAGATTTGTTCGTTTTTTTGGCAGTCCATGGTATACACAATATTCTTTGCCAACACCACAATTCAGAGGCATCAATTCTTCTTCAGTCTTCCTTATTCATTGTCTAGCTTTCACATGCGTATAAGGCAATTGAAAACACCGTGGCTTGGGTCAGGCGCACCTTAGTCATCAGAGTGACATCTTTGCCTTTTAGCACTTTAAAAGGCCTTTTGCAGCAGATTTGGCCAGTTGTTCAATTTCTCGACTGCTGCTTTCATGGGCGTTGATTGTTGATCCAAGCAGAATGAAGTCCCCGACAACCTCAATTTTTCACCATTTATCATAATGTTGTTTATTGGTCCAGTTGTAAGGATTTTCGTTCTCTTTATGGTCCCGTGTATTCTCACAGTTAGGAGGCTAGAAGTCTGAATTCAGTGCGCCAGCTCTAGGGGAAATGTCTCTGTCTGCTCTGGGGAAAAAATCCTTGTCTCAGCTTCTCTAGTGTTCTTCTTGGCGTTCCTTGGTAATCCCCACGTGGCATGTATCGTCCCCTCTATTTATGCTTGCTTCCCTGCACCTAATAGGCTCTTTTCATCTCAGAAGCAAATAGGTTTATGACACATGCTTCACTGATATGGCCTCGTTAACATAATGAAGAAAACTTTATTGCCAACTGGGCTTATATCCGCAGGTATAGGGGTTAGGTTTCCAACACTGTTTTTTGGGTGACACATTCAATCCACAACACCCACCTTTGGCTGAAGAGGGAAGATGGAAGGAGCTGGGGGTGTTCACCCCGAGTAGAAGGCTTGCAGGGGACCAATGACCATCTCCAGGTCACTGAAGGGCTACCTGGGGCCAATGTGTCTGGGAGTCCCAGAGGGGGAAGCCAGGCCCAGGGGAAGAATGCAGGGAGGAGAACACAGCACAGCCCAAGAGACAGAGACACTGCTGCCTCCACGGACAGTGAGCACACCCCCTCATAAGTGTGTGAGCTGGGGGTACTGAGGAGACTCAGGTGTCTTCCAGCTGTGACATCAGTCATTTCCTTCCATCCTGCTGGCCTTACAGATCCAGAACTCAACGTCCACCCCATCCACATACGACCTGCATATCTTGACCACAATCCCGGGCCTCAGTTACCGGCACTATAGCATTACACCCACTGTGGGGGCCCAGGAGGGCATCCAGGAGCCAGCTGCTGCCCTGGCCAGCACCGTCCAGTTTGGCCGCAGGCCGAGGAGACGCTCCAGCCATAGGGGCAGGCGCCTGGTGCCTGTGGTAAACGACTGCTACACTGTGCTCCTGGACCGGGACACCAACCTGATGCATAGCATCCGGGAGAGGTGAGGTGCAGCCATGGCTGGCTCTGAGGCGGAGGGGTGCCCTTGGGCCTCAGCACGTCACGCCCCCACCCGGAGTCTCTGTTTGCTCACCTGCTCAGAGAAGGACCAGATGGTGCTGCAGGCCCTTCCCACTGTTACGATCTTTATTTCTAGGAATGTGATTTAGGAAAGCCTTTCTTGCACTTTTTCATTCCACGGCTGTTGATCCATAGACAGGTGTTGAGGAACTCTGGAGAAAAAAATGTAATATTCATGTTACTTACTTTTTTTAATTTAGAGAATCATAAAATCTACACTCAATAAATAATCATATTGGCTTTAGAGTGTGAAGGGACCTTGGGAATCATCTAGTTCAACCCACCCACCCATCCAACCACCCACCCACCCATCCATCCACCCACTTATCCACCCACCCACCCAACCATCCA